TCTCCCCAGTTTCTGGCTTTAAAGGGGCAGCAAGCAATGCCACCTCTTTGTCTGTATCCCTATTAGTAATCAACAAACAAAGTGGGAAATGGCTAAAAAATTTTTAAACCATGTTCTTCCTTTGCTTCTAAAAAATTTGAGATAACAGACATGTGTCTTTGACAGCAGTGGCCTAACTCAGGAAAGCACACTGATTTATTGATGTGAAAGACTTCCAAGATATATTAAGATAAAATAGCAAGATACAGAACAATACATATAACATGCTAACTTCTGTGTGTAATAATAAGAGGAGAAATAAATAAGAATACGTATTTTTACTTGTTTATACATTTATAAATCCTGGAAGAAGAACACCCAAGAAACTAATAAAAGTGGTTACCAGTGGGTGGGGCAGAAAGGGCAGATGGAGGACAGAATGAAGGTAAAACTTTTTGCTGCGTACATCTAACGTTCACTGTATACATCTAATGTTCACTGTATACGTCTAACGTTCACTGTATACATCTAACGTTCACGGCATACATTTAATGTTGCTTAGTTTTTTAACTATGTAATTACATCACCTATTCAAAATTTTAATCTAAAAAAAGAAAACTAATTTAACATAAATGTATATTTTCATTTCTAATTCTTGCACTTTACCTTTACAGTTTATTTTTATTTTTTAATTTTTTAAAATTGATTTTCTAGAGAAAGGAAGGGAGAAACATCGATGATCAGCTGCCTCCTGCACACCCCCTACTGGGGATGGAGCCCACAACCTGGGGATGTGCCTCACTGGGAATAGAACCGGCGACCTCTTGGTGCATGGGTCAGTGCTCAACCACTCAGCCACACTGGCTGGGCTACATTTTATTTTATAACAGCGTATTCTTTTTACTTTTTATTTTTATTTAATTTTTTAGAGAATATTTATGAGTTTATTTGAGCCAAACTGACAACATATGGAGGGAAGCAAGATCTCAAATGCTCCCAACAGCATATTCTTTTAAACACTACAAAAGACCTCAACCCGATTAAAAATGATATACTTAACACCACCAATTATGCTATCCTATACAGCTTTCTTGGGGTGAAATAATTCTACCATCAAAACAAGCCTTCCTGCTTCTAGTTAAGCTTCAGTTCATCAAAATACTACCGTGGGATTTTCACCTGTCCGTCCTAAGTTTAAAAGCTTTCAGTGATTGACCATCTTGCCTCAAGAATCAAGTTCTTACTCTTCAGCCTGGAATCAGAGCCCTAAACAATGTAGTCCCTCTCCACCTTATCTCCCACTGCTCCCATTAATGATTTCTTCGATTTAACCATTTCAGCCTGTTAAATGGTTAAACATTCCTGAATTCACCTGCATGTAATGCCTTCTGCCAGTCCTCTTTACCTCTCTTTCCTGTAAGACCTAACTCAGGTCTCAACAATCCTTTTCCCACTCCCCATCCCCAGTGTTGGTTCTCTCCTCTGAATTCCTGTAGCAAAAGCCATCATTGACACGTAGCACGTGCTACTTTTCACACATTATTGCATTCCTTTTTCAAAAAGTTAGTCCTTTCTCACTCATAGTTCAGTGGTGGAAGCCAATTCTAAACAATGACAATGTAACATATGAAATGACTACAAGTAGACACAGAGGGCGTAACTAATTCAGGCTTGTTTTTCCTTTTTTATACATATATCCTGTTTCCCATCTAGGCTGCAAGCACTTTCTTATGATCAATTTATAGTATGGTTTTTAGGATAATGTTCTATTCAAAATACATGATTAATAAGCATTACTGGTGTCGATAAAGATGACCATGGCAGGTTCAGGGAAGAAAGCCTAACTTGATGAAGGGTGTGTTTTGACACCTATCATGAGATTCAGGACAAACAAGCCATTTGGCGTCATTCTGAAGGCCCCTCTGGAGAAGTCTCATCATCAGTTTTTTTAAGAACAACCCTTTAGGTGGCCCTCCCAGACCTACCTCCCCTGACTTTATGGTCTTACTCTCTCGGTTACCTAAATTGATACATTCAATTTGGGCTGGTTTATTTGGAACTTTGAAATTGAAGACATTTGATCTTTTTTAAAGTGGTGTATCCACATAATGCAATATTGTTTGGTCATAAAAAGGAAATATGGATGCATGCTACAATTTGGATGAACCTTGAAATCATTCTGCTCAGTTAAAGAAGCCAGGCACAAAAATCCGTAAGATTCCATAGAGTTCAATCTATAAGGACAGAAAGTAGATTAGTGGTTCTTTGGGCTAGGGAGATGGGGGTTGCTGAATGATAGCTAAAAGATACACGATTTCCTTTGGATGAAAATATTCTAAAGTTGACTCCCACTGCTGCCATTAATGATTTCTTCAATTTAACCATTTCAATCTGATTAAGCATGGTGGTGATCTCACTTATCTCTGAATATACTAAAAATCATTAATCTGTATACTTTAAAAGGGTAAATTTTAGTGTATATGAATCACATCTCAGTAAAGCTATTTTAAAATAGGAATTTGAAGACATTTCATTTTCATATTCTCTCTCCTCAACCCATACCCCCTCAAACCTAAAATTCTAATGAATTAACTTTGAATTAATACATGTTACCTATAATTGATTATCACTTGCCTGCAGCTACTTTCCTTGCCACACCTTTTAGCTTGTATTATAAAGAATGCACAATATTGTTTTGGTCACTTGCAGGGTATATTTAATGCCCTAACATGAATATAGTAATGTATACACTTGATGTATGTATATACATATAAAGTAGGTGAGTCCTACTTTTTATACTGTAAGTTAGAACTAAGAATTCGACTTTTGAATTAGGACATCAAATGCATAATTTTCTTCTTGAATCTAATATTCTGTCATGAAACACAACACCCTCTACTAAATCTGAAAAGCTAGAAATGCCCTTAAATATTCCACTCATCTCTCATACTTTTCAAGTGGCACTATTCTGGTTTCTGGCCTATCTTGCCAAGAGGCAGATCAGCAGTAAGAAAGCAAAGTCCCAGCCCCAGCCGGGTGGCTCAGTTGAGTGTCATCCTGTACAACAAAAGGGTTGGGGTTCCATTCCCTGTCAGGGCACATACCTAGGCTGCAGGTTTGATTCCCCAGTCAGGGTATGTAGTCGGAGACAACAGATTGATGTTTCTCTCTCTCACATCGATGTTTCTCTGTTTTTCTCTTTCTCTCTCTCTCAAATAAATAAACATATCTTTTGGTGAGGATTAAAGAAAATATTGTTTTTTAAGAAAGATCCAAGCACCAAATGCAGCCCTCCTCTGACCTCCAATTACCTGTCTGCCCACATCTCACCAGAGCCCCTCATGGCCTCTGTTCCAGTCACACCTGCTGTGACAATGACCCACGAACATGCCCAATACTTTTCAGAGCCCTGTGCTTTTCTCACCCTGATGGGAAATCCTCTTCTTGTCTTCCACCCTTGGAGATTAAGCTCAAAGTTTTCTATGAAAATTTCCCTAAACAACCTATGCTCATGGTCCAATGTATACAATCTGTCCATCCTTTGGGCTCCCATCACATGTGACTTGTACCTATTTTATACCATCTTATATGAACAGTTAATGGTTTTTCAAACGTTATCTTTCTTAAGATTGTAGCGCACTATGAAAAAGAAAGAAATCTTATCATTTGCAGCATGGATGGACATAGAGGGTATCCGGCTCAGTGAAATAAGTCAGAGGAAGCCAAATACCATGATTTCACTTATATGTGGACTCTAAAGAGCAAAATAAACGAACAAACAAAACAAAAACAGACTCATTGATACAGAGAACAGACTGATGGTTGCTGGCGGGGAGGGGGCAACTGGGTGAAAAAGGTGATGGGATTAAGAAGTAAAAATTGGTAGTTACAAAATAGTCACAAGGATATAAAGTACAGCATAGGGAATACAGTCAATAATATCAGAATAACTATGTATGGTGCCAGGTGGGTACTTGAATTATTGGTGGGGAGGGGGAACCACTTTGAAAAGTCTGTGGTTGTCTGGCCACTGTGCTGTACACCTGAAACTAAAATAAAATAGTGTTGGATGTGGACTGTAATTGAAGAATACAATTTTTTAAAAAGACTGTTAGGCACTTGAGGAAAGACCATTTTTACATTCTTAATTTAACATTATTTGAAAGAGTTTTCAAAAGCTTTCTGTCCAAAATGCTTCTTCCATATTATATTACTAACTGAAATGTCACCATTAAAGGCTCATCCAGCACTATCCTTTCTCAAAAGGCAAATAAGCCTGGCGTGTAGTGTGGTTTTCAAACATGCCAGCCAGCTGAATGCAAGTTGATAAACACAAACAGGGCAATGAGCCAGAAAAGGGCCATGCCTGGCTGCTGGGTCACAGGGAAGTTCTCGCCAGGCAAAAATGAAGACAAAGACCAGAGCCCAGAGTGTTAGCAATAGGAGGAAAGGAAGTGCTCAAAGAGAAATTGAGTATGAGCCAACTCAAGCTGCCTGGGGTTGACAAAACTCTAATCATCAGTGAAGTGTCTGGCAGCAGATAAAGGGGTATGTGTCACTGCACTGTCAGAATGGGGCGAAGAGTACAGTTGCTACTGATTATGAGAGGTTAAGAGTAGTGGAGAGAAGCAAATACAATCAAGAGGAAATATAATTAGGCCTTAACAAGGAACTGGCAACAATGGAACAGCAGGAATGGAAGTGGAAATCGGTAAACTAATTCAGATATTCATGAGTGTAGACAGGAAAACAATCAGAAGGCATGGGACAGATGCAAGACTGGCCTGAGAGAAGTGGCTATTATATGCCATAAGTTAGCCCTTCCTTATCATCAGCTAACATCTTTCTCTATTTTCATCATCTTGTCTTTTCTTCACCCTTTCCTGAATTTACAGACCACATCATCTCAGTTCTTAGCTACTTGTCTGAGAAGCAGTCACACAACACGTGGTTGCACAGTCTTTTATGCCAGTCTTGGCCTGTGCCCCAGCCTTATCCCAAATTGCACAAAAATGAAGAAATTATTTCATCTTTCTCTTTATTCTTAAAATATGATAGTATTAAAGTCCAAGAGGTATTGATTGGGTTGGTCCTTGTGTGGTCTCCAGTATTCTGTGGGAGGTAGAACTGAGCCCCCGGAAATGTGAAAGCATAATCTCAGAAAGCTAGCAGCAGCTAATACAGTGTCAAATTCAGTAGCCCTGGGAACATTCATTGATATGTTATAGGGCTGGGCTTGGGTTCCAGCTCCTGGGAAATAATGGGAGTGGAAACTGTTTTGAGAAGACAGTTGAGCAAAAGAGCACTAGGCACCAGAAGGGTCTGGTGGGAGAAGTGGGGAAAGTGAAGGATAGGGATCTTCCTCTCCTTTCTGCTACTATATAAGGCCAGGGGCATGTCACCCCAGTAAGGATCCAAAGTAGGTAGCAGCTACTTGGGTCCCATAAGAGAGAGGCCAGACCACTCTGGGGCTGGTTAACTGGCATGGTCAGGCAGTGGAATGCTAGCCATAAGAACGGAGACAAACTGTTCCAATTTCTGTGCAGCTTGTTTCCCAGTATTTAGAACTTCCTCATGGTTGGCTTTCTCCAGGTTTTCATAATCCAGGATGGCCTTGTTAGTGATAAGGGAGAAGCCAAAGACTCGAAGTCCACAGTGCCTTGCAACTATAACTTCTGGTACTGTGCTCATGCCTGATAGAGAGAAAGGAAAGCCAAGTGTTAGGATCCTCAAATGACTCTTTCTTCACCCTTTAACCTAATCTGTAACAGTCTGTGGTAATTTTGAAGTCAGTTCTAATGATGCAGCTCCATCGTCCAGCCAGAGGTACAGAAGGTGGCTATGACATTTGTTAGAATAATCCTTAGAAACAGTTAATCAAATCAAGGATAGGTCATTAGCATTACAGCGGTTAAAGCCCTTGATGCTGAGTGGGGAGGTTTGATGCTACAACACACCAAACCTCACCACCTTAATCTTTCTAGAAATCACTTTGTAGAAATTCAGTCTTCCTTAAGTTAGATCTTCTATCGGGTCTCTAATATTTTACTCCTTCCCATCTCTATTTTACCAGATCCTTCCCTCTTCAAGCCTCTAGCCAAGTACCCCTTCTCACCAACAGCATCAGCACCCATCTTCTGCAGCATACGACACTCTGCCACAGTCTCAAAGTTGGGGCCTGTCACCATAACGTAGGTGCCTTCCTGTAGCTCTCTCTGCTCCCCCATTTGTTTCCAGGTACTGTGAGCCTTCTGCCTCATCTCCCGGTCATAGGCATCAGACATGGCAGGAAAACGAATTCCAAACCTAGGGCACAGGTTGGATTATCTCAGATTAATGGAATACAATGAGCATTCTCCTCACTTCCAGACAAGTCCTTAAACCCTCCCATCTATAAACAAGAAAGCAATTTAAGTACCTTTCCTCATTGAGTCCTACGAGAGGGTTCTGACCACAGAGACCAGGTAGGTTGATGTGATCACGGATCAGCATGATGTCTCCAACCTCATACTTGGGGTTGAGTCCTCCAGCTGCATTGGTGACAACTAGGGTGCTCACACCCAGAAGGTGGAAAACCCTCACTGGGAATGTCACCTTAGAAACAAAAGATAAAAGATCACAAAGTGTTCTTTAAAAGTTCACCAATCCACTATTCAGATATGCGTGCTCTATATACATCATGAAAGGAGGGAACCAAAATTCTACCTAGCCCAGGTAGTTAGGCAATAAAGTGGGACAGAGAGCTCTCTCCCCTTTCTTCCAGAGCCAACCAGACTTATGCCCCCAATTTACCTTCCAGAGTGGGTAGCCTTCATACATGTGGAACCTGCCCTGCATCATCACACAGGCTCTGCCATTCAGGAACCCAAACACCAGTCGACCAGCATGGCCTGGCACTAAATACAAAGAAAGAAAGGGAAATAAATGGGATGATGTTTTCATACAACACATATCCACTGAGCACCTTCTGTGAGCCAACTCACTGTCCTTGACATGTGAAGATATAATTAAGCAAGACAAGATGTTACTATCTTCACGTTCAGAAATTTGACATCTGGTGGAGACCAAAATTAATCATAAACTTACAAATAAGTATATAAAGACATCCTAAGATTAGAACTGGGGGTAAGGATGTTCAATGTGAACATATATCAAGGAAGGGGGGAAAAAATGTTTTGTTTTGTTTTCTTAAGAAATTTCAAAAGAACAAGAAAGCCATACAGTAAGAGAATGAAAGTAAGCAAAAAAATAGAATAAGAGGGTAATAAGGAATGTAATAATTATAAACCACTTTTCCCAAATTTCCAAAGTTCTTAAAATGTGTGTTCCTATTCATTACCCAAACTAAACTAAATGCATATTTACCCCTGATAGGGAGCTCATGGTATATTCTGCTTCCTAAAGAGGCTACTGAATAAGGGTAAGGGGCCTCGACCCATACAAGTCTTCTGCATTAGGACTCCCAAACTGTCCTGTGGGAATACATGCCCACAGTGGGGTACATAGGGGCATGGGAATGCACGAGTAACCCCCACACAGATGGAATAACCACTATTATCAATTTCCTCATCTGGCATGTCTCCTCTAATGGACATGGCCAACTTATCCTTTAAGGAATGGATGGTTTGGGAGAGGAAGAGTTGAAAGATATTCAGAAATAGAATTTATTTATTTTTAATTACCAGTAATAGAACATAGGTGAGAGTTAGGAAAACTCAAGTGGAGTATAAATAAGTTGATAAAGTTTAAAAAAATCAATCCCCTTATCACTTAGTACAGTGCCCTTCTCACTGCAGGTAGGAGTGGCAGGTGGAGTCAACGTTAGTCACTGCTGTCTCCCTTACAAAATTTTGCTCTCCATCTCTCTTTTTAGTATTTCCTTCTCCAACCTCCATTCCCACCTTTCTGCTCTGGTCTCCCAGTCTTGCGCCAAAAGGTTTGAAAAATAACTGAAAAATCTGTTAAAAGTTGCCCCACCAGGATGGTTCAGTGGTTGAATGTTAACCCATGAACCAAGAGGTCACCAAAACGATTCCTGCTCAGGGCACATGCCCTGGTTGAAGGCTTGATCCCCAGTAAGGAGCACTCTGTGCAGGAGGCAGCTGATCGATGTTTCTGTCTCTCTATCCCTCTCTCTTCCCCTCTCTCTAAAATCAATAAAAACATATATATATTTAAAATCTGTTAAAAGCCATAACTCTCCAGAGGAAAGAGGAAGGAAGCTAGAAATCCAAAGAAGTATTACATTAACCAAGGGAAGTTAATTGTCTGAAAAATTAATAAGTAAACCAAATAAGCTACCCTTGTACTTCACTTGGAACTTGCCCCTATTTTACGTGGCCCTTTTCTAAGCCTTAGCTGTAGAGCTTTCCAGCTGCTATTAGGATGCTGGGTATCAGGTCCCTCTGTGCATAGGGGTTATCTGCCCTTTCCCCCCTCAAAAGGGCAAGTGTGTTAGGTTCTGTGTGTTCATGGATCATTTGCATATTTGTTTGCAAGAACATGGTAGTCTGTGTGTTCATTTGTTGTTTTGCACTAGTGTATGTCTTATCCTAGGACTGAAACTAGAGCTGGGGAGATTAGAAATGGCCTAAGGGCATAGGACAGGGGAGGCCCAGCTTTGTCATGGGAAGTTCCAGGAAAGGCTTTTTCCATTTAAGCTGAAGAGTGATAGATTAGATAGGCATGTATGTGGTGAACAGGGTGTGTATAGGGGAGGTGTTGTAGAGCTTTAAGGAGTGTTGAGTCATTAAAGCATAGGAAATATGTCATCATATAGTACCACTGATACACACATACCCTATTATGAAAGTCCTAGGGGAAATTCATTCTAAAGTCATTCTGATTCATGGTGGTTTATTTCCCACTCTTACAACAGTTGTCTTTAGCCCAATGCTATAGAGGATAACCAGGTCTATCCCTGGCCAATTTGCTCAGTGGTTAGAGCACCATCCTGTGGACTGAAGGATCCTGGATTTGACTCTGGCCAAGAGCACATGCCTAGGTTGTAGGCTCGATCCCTGGCCCTGGTAGGGGTGCATGTGGGAGGCAACCAATCGAGATGTCTCACATCGATGTTTCTCCCCCCGCCCCACTCTCTCTGAAAAGCAATGGAAAAAATGCCCATGGGTGAGGATTTAAAAAACACACAAAAAACCTGGGGCATAGGAGGATAGCCCTCCCTTCAGAATCCCATCAGTATCCCTCAGTCCCATCCCTCTCTCCTCCTTGCCTTACCTGTACTTTCGGGAAAGTTTGGTATCTCACTGTAGTTAAAGATCTGGGTCTGAGTTAATTTATCAGTCAGGCCTCCTAAGCCAGAACCACAGATCACTGCCACTTGAGGTCGATGCTTGGTGTGGGACTGAAGCCATTCTGCAGTGTGTCGATAATCTTCATATGTGAATCTAGAAAAAAAGAAAAATCAAGGTGAGTTTTGCTCCCATACCAAGGGCATCAGAGATTAATGGCCTTTACTGCAGAAAGGCTGGCAGGTATACCGAGGTGGCAGGGGACACAGAAGGAAGGCAAAGAGCTGCCCCAGAGTGGAGGTTCCTCTCTCTCAGGAAAGGCCACACTAAGCTCACCCACCCGCCTACTCCCCTTTCTGAATCAGACCCACTGAAAGTCTGATATGAAATTCATTCCAAAGCCTGACAAAATATCATGTTTCCACCACCAGCCCCAACTCAAGTTTTGCTACCACTGTCAGGTTTAATATCTCTCCTTATGACAAAGATTTAGAGAGGAAGGGATCACAGAGTCTACAGAAGTACAATTAAAATAATCAAATGAAGGAGGGTAAAGGGCCCCACCTCTGTTATAGGCACAGCTTGAAAATTAATTAAAACCTTGTTGCCAATAAGCTCCAAAGACCTATGACTCCATAAATCATGGTTTGGGTCCACAGCTCTTGAATCTTTCTTCCACTTTCCTTTGCTGTGTTCTTCTCCCTGCCTTCTCCCTTTTTCCCTTCTCTTCACCAAGGTTCTTTGCCCTTCAGAGACCTAAGGACAAAAACTTACCCAGAACCCATATATCAGCACCACCACCACCCCCCCAAAAAAAAATCAACCTAGAATTTTTCTCCCAAGTCCAGTCCAATTCTCACACCCATCTGGAAAGACCAAAGATTGAAGAAAGGAAAAAAGTCGAACTGAGGTGCAACAGAGCTGAACACAACTAATGGAGCCTCTAGAGGAAATCCTATCCTTTGAAAGCAGAGCCTTTGAAACCAAGATGCCCACAATACACCAGGCTATCCTCAGGAAAGCAGCTGGGTAAGGGGCAGGGGTGAGGGCAACAGAGCTGGGGCCACAGGATGAGGAGAACAGAAGCAATAAAATGGTATAAAGTTCATCAAATAGCAACCCCAAGAGATGCAAAGGAAATGGAAGAAGTGTGAAGCCCTGAACACCTAGCACATTTAGCCAGAGCCTATAGGACTTCCTCATTGGCCCTCAGTCCCCCAAGAACACCCTGGATCCCTGGACATCCAGAAGCCAGTGACCCCTAATGCTGGAGACTTTGGCTGAGATTTCCAGGACCAAAGCAGAGAAAAGGGTTTTCAACGGGGAGGGGGAGGGCAGGGGCTGTTGCTCAGTTCACTAAATAAGGATTTCCTTTTCTCCTTGGAGACTCCATCCTCAATTTAAGTGAACCTCCAGTTTGGAGGGAATGGATCCGTGGGTGAGGGACGTGAGCGGTCTCTCCTCTGAAGGAGGGGCTCTAGATAGGGCACAAAAAGTACCTTGTGGCTTTACCTAGACTCTAGAATGGCAATCTGGGAAGAGCACATGCGGTGTGTGTGTTGGGGGGTGCATTCCTCCCTCTACACTTACACCCCAAACACACACACACACGCACACGCACACGCACGCACACACACCCTCTTTCCACCTTTCCGAATAGACCGCACTTGCTAGCCGGTCCCTTCCTGCTCCGGCTGCCCCACCTCAGCGCGATGCCCACGTGCGCCCCCGCGGGGGGAGCCGCCCCGCCGCTCTGCCGCTTTGTCCCTGTCACGCGGCTCGGTGCCAGGCCTCTGCATCTCCAGGGCACTCGCTCCCTCTCCCGGCCACGTCGGGGCCCAGAGCGCTAAGTTTCCAGGTCTCGGTGACAGCCATTTCCCCTCCCCAGGTGCCTTCGGGCTGTCTCGGGCCTGGCGCCCTCCTCACCGCCTCTCCATGGTCCCGCCGGGCGCTCCCGGGGAGTGCGCCCCTCTCCGCCGGCTCCGGCTCCGCCGAGCTGGGCAGCTCGCTCCGGCCCTCGCAGTCGGAGCGCGGCGAGGGGGCAGCCGGCTTATATCGCCAGCCCGGGAACGCCCAGCCAATGGCAGCCAAGCACGAGGGCGGGCCCATCTCCATGGTGACACACCCGGATTCAATCGCCACAGGCTGAGCTGTCAACCCGAGGTTTTTCCCCGGTGCTGGACCCTTTCTCGGGCCTCGCGCACCACATCCAGCATTTCATCCCTGCACCTATTTCGGTCCGCAGGGCCCAGGTTTCCCGC